GTAAAGCACCTTCTTTAATGTAGACATTCCATGCTGGGAGGTCCTATGCCAGTGTCTCCAATGTCTCACAATCAACACTAAATTTCTTCAGAGAGACCTTGAGAGTGTCCTTGTACTGCATCGTCTGATCTCCGTTTGAGCAATTGCCTTGTGCAACTTTTCCATAAGATAGTCTTTTAGATAAATGGACGTTTGGCATTTGGGCTATATGCCAATACTCTGCACATCCACAGGTGTTTAATAAATATTCATCGTTTACTACACAAGATCCTAAATCCATACATAATTACTCAGCTATCTCCAAAACTGCAGTTTTGTCCACTTTTTCCTCTCTATATATTCATAATATACAGTATGTTTTATATAGAGTCCCTCTTCAACAGAAACTTTACTGCAAAAAAAATCAAAGTATGGCTATGGGATGGGGCAAATGAAAAGACTAGATAGAGTCCCAAAAAGTCACATACTTTAGAAAAACTTAAATTCCAGATTTGTCACTTTCTATAGGCGTGTTATGCTGAATGAGCAATCAGTGATTTATATTGAGGAACTTTCTAGCTGCTGACTGGGTAACCATCACAAATGAATATACCTGTTCTCCATGAAAAAACACCTATGTAGTAAAGCCTCATTAATTCAAATACCATTGTGTGGAATTTGTGATCCTTTGGACAAGGGTTAGGTTGAAGTTTACCATGGCTTATCTAACTAACCCTTTCTTAAAAGATAATAGAAACCTTACAGTTATCAAGAAAAATATTTAAAATAATCAAAAGGAAAAAAATTAATTTCAAGTACTTCAGAAGTACCATTTACAAACAATTGACATGGTAACCTAGAGTCATTCTACTTCTTATAATAGGTCCTCTAAGACCCTCAATGTACAATAATTGTCCATAACAATTTTATTCAAATCTTATGTTTGACTAATAAAATATTTCTTTTTAAATATTCTATAATTAAAACTTTTTAATAATTCAAATTGCTCTAGGTCATAAGAAAGGTTGAATAATGCTCAAGAGAAGCATTAAACTGATGCTGCTTACCTCTCTGTACCTCTCAGAGTTTGGCCTCAGAAAACCAAATCAGAAGTCTAAAGATTGCCTTGTAATTATGTAGAATCAGACAAGGTAGGTGCCTACACTATAAATAAACTGCTCAGCTGGTATAGGTATCCTCCTAATCAGAGCTAAAACCACCTTCCTTCTTTACCAACCTTCCCATTATTTAGTATACATAAGTTTCTCTTCAAGATCTCCTTCAATAACTCCATTCAGTTTTTCTGACTGTATCAAAAAACACTTCAAAAGGTCTTCCTTTGATTGTTTCTGTGACAGTCCCTGCTATTATCATTTAACACTTGGGTTTTAAAGACTATTTCTAACCACAAGTGTGCCTCTACCTACTTCAACCCTTCCGTGAGTGCAAATTAGTGAGGTTTTAACTATATAAGCAATAGAAGGGATCAGATTTTATGCACTGCTCAGATGAATACCATTTAGCACACTCTGAATGTTTAATTAATATTAATTAAAGACAAGAATTATAAAGGGATGTTGGCAAACTATCAAAAATGTTTATCCTTTTTTCTAATTCGCTACAAAGCTATCAACACGTTTATCAGAATAAAACAAAAATAATAGCTTTGATAATTAATTAATCTTATTTTTAATTCATGCATAGAATCCAGCTAGACTTTGATGGGGAAACAGGAAAGATAAAGCAAAGGTCAGAGATAGCTTTCAGAAATTGTACTCAGATTCTCTCAGAACTAGATAACTTTCCACAGCCTTGTACAAAAATAAATGGTTGCATATTAATAGAGCTGAAGAATCTCTCAAGCTCAAGCTGTGACCAGATTCCTGCTCTGCCCTATGTAAAAATTCATCTTCACTTTACCAAAAACTTTGTCTCAGAAATTCTGGTGCAAATGATTTCAAAGTTGCTTCTTCTACTCTCAAGAATAAAGGGGAAAGGGGGGGAAGAGGGGAGGAAAGGTTGTGAAATCTTTCTATTCCTTCTAAACAATATAAATTCTTAAATTATATGCTCTCTTATAATAAGAAACCTGGTATGGAAAACAGTCATTCTCTATTATAAAAAGGGAAGACATCCAGGGGTAGACAAAATGAAAGGAAAGAGCAAACATAAGATCAATCAATAAGAATTTAAGTATTTACTATGTGCTGAACACTGGGATACAGATGCAAAATTATTCTCTGTTACTGCATTCCATCTGCCCGCATTCAACCATAGCACTATAAGTAGACTTCATATTAGGCTGAACCAAGATTATAACAAGACCAAGAGTATTTTTTAAAAATTAAGTCCTAAAAAACTATTCCAATCCCCAAAATCAACCCATACCCCGCCCACCACCACCTACTCATAATGGATGCAGCTACTCATAGCTTCACAAAAATATCACAAAAAAGGGGGGAGGGTAAAAACACCTATATATTATGTTATTGTTGTTGTTCGTCCTTCATTTTTGAAAAGGATCAGCAACATCACGGAGTGATGCTTTGACTTGCTTGTGAATTGGATTTAAGTGAAACAGACTTGCACAAAGTCATCAGCCTCACTCTCCCTTCCTGAATCATTTAAGACCAGTGGCAGGACAAAAGTCAGGATGATTAGCCATGGCCTAGGATGCAGTAGATGACCTTGGCGTCCTGGATGTCTGATCAGCTTCAAACACTCCACAGCTTCTGCTTCAGCCGCCTTCAGGGCCACTGGAACAAATTGTTACCCTACACCCATTCCACCAAGGAAAGTATTCGTATGATTTGGGTAGATGTTTCCCTAATTCACCAATGGGTTTGAGGCCTCTAGGTTACCCTCAATCTGGTTTAGCCCATCTACCAAGACAGTTTTACTAGACTGTGGTTGCTATCCATGCTACAGCTTCTTGGAGTCACAGATGAGAGTTGAGAGCCAGGTAGACACCAAAAGTGGATAAGCAACCCTGGAAAGGGCTCAGAAAGCCCTTACACCAGAGGTGCTAGTCCTCCCTGACACCACATATACCCCACCCATAGAATATACGCTACTATCTGAGGAATTAGTTTTTTTTTTCCTAGGGAGAAAGGTTGCCTTGAGGCTCATACCTGACAATGCTTCCCAATGAGAGGAGGCAAAAGAAAGGAAAAAAATAAAAAAAAGGAAAGAAAATGAGAAACAAGTGGAAATCTCTTTAAACTTTCAATTCATTTTAAAGTAAAATTAAACATCTATAATATGGAGAGCACTATGCTGGACCTTAGAGAGCTATAAGAATAAATAAAACACTGTCCCAATTCTCATGGAGAATTACTATCAAATGGAGGAAAATGGCACTGATACAAATAACTAAAAAAAAAAAAAAAAAAAGAAAGAAAGAAAAAGTGCATAAAAGAAGCACAAAATGCTATGCTAGGTATAAGGAAGGAAAGATCATTTCTAACCAAGATAAGAGAATCACAGAAAGCTTTACAGAGAAAGTAACAATTGGGCTGGGTCTTGAAAGGTAAATAGGATTTTCAATTAGCAGAAAAAACCAGGAAAGACATTATAAGAATAGGAAATAGCATGAGTTAAGCCCAGGACATGTACAGGAGGTGACAAGAAGTCCACTTAGGCTATAGTATAAAGAAAATGGTAAAGATATAGTATGACATAAACTTGCTAAGATGAGATGGTACAAGTTTGTAAATGACCTTGAATACAGCCAAAGGGTTTGGACTTTATCAAATTCAATTCAACTCAACAAACATTTCTAGAATATTTACTATATGCAAGGTTCTGGAGACGAAAAAGGTAGAAACAAAATGGTTCCTGCCTTCAAGGAACTTACATTCTACTGAAATATTAGGTAGGTTCTAAAGAGGCATTGAATAAACACTTTTATTTCTAAAACTGAGAAACCATTGAAATGAACAGAACAACAAACATGTATTAAGCCCCTACTATGTGCCAAGCTCTGTGGTAGATAAGGCAATAATGACTAACCTCGAAAAAGTAAACTCTACATTTGGTTGATGAGTAGAGGAGAGAAAAATAAAACTACATCAAGGGAAGGCAGAATCTAAAAGAAGCAAAATGTGTAGTAGAAAGAATAAGACTTGGGAGTCAGGAGTCCTGGGTTCTAACTTAAGTTGTGCCACTAACTGGCTTTGTAACCTTGGCCTAGACATCTCCCTTCTCTGGGCCTCAGCAACGTGATCTATAAACTGAGGGTGCTGGATTGGATAATCTCTCAGGCCCCTTCCAGCCCTGGCAAATTCTATGATGCTAAATATTTAATAGTTCTGGTATGCACTCTAAATAGAAATTGGGCACAATGAGCTCTCATTTCCCTACGAAACGATGGCAATCATAAGACAGCACATTTTAATTAGCAGCAATACAGACATTACCATGATGCTTAGAAAGATTCCAAAATCTTGAACTACACTGGGAAGAACAGACATGGCCTGAAATATAAACTACTTTTAAACCATTACTGACTTCTTCCCTAGAACTGATGAAATTATAATGACAGTTTCAAAGTAAATAACAGTCAAAATAAGTTACAGGAACTGAAGCATGGTACACATGGATGGCCTTCTTTAGCACCACAAACTTAAAATATATCACACAAAAACTACTGCAAACCAAGACCATAGTTTTTAAAGACAGAATTATGAAAAGTCCAGCTCTTCACATGCACAATATTAAGCAAAGTATTAATTTCCTGCCAACCACCATGCCACATCTGTGGAATAAATACATTTTACACCAAAATATCCTGCTTTAGGATCATGAATTGTATTTAGAACCTAATGTGCCTTTGAGAATTCTGCATCAAGAATAAAGATGAATGAAAAAGCCCATTCGGCACTGAATTGTTTACCAAATTTAAAAAAACAAAACACAGTCTTACAAAGTTATTTCCCCCATCCCACTTCCATGTACCAAATGCCTAGACAATTATAAAGGGGGAGCAAACTCAAACCCCTGCTAAACAGTGCAGTCAGTACCTGTCTCTGTCTTGCTAGAGAATCCTGCTGCCTGTTTGATTGCTGCTGCCGTTAATGCTAATCCCCGACTCCTCTTCAAGCCATGCTGTAACACAGATTCAAACTGGGCACACAGACAAGTCACTCTGCAACAGAATAAATGATTAATCAAACCATCGTGCAAAGAGAATACAGACACATCAACAGCAACATCCATATGCAGCTGATTCAGACGCTGGGCAGGAATGTATGACATCGAGGTACACATGGGCACCAGCACGCTGAAGGAAAACACTGGGTAATTTACTTCTGTGGGACACATACCAGAAACAACTTTGATTTATGTTAATTTTACTTAATATGTGGGAGCATCACATAGTCTAGCCATATTCATCGTACTCATTAAAACACAGTAACAACAATTCATGAGACAAGGGAAGTGAAATTTGTACAAGCAGCAAGAGAAGAAAAAGTCAATTTAGAAACAAATCGGTGCATGTGGGAGTGTTAATCATATCCAATTCACAAGTCACAAATTCAGCTCTAATTCGCCTCACACATTTGCAGTAACGAGATTATATTTTCACGGATTGAATTCACAATGTGCCAAGTTAGCGACTGCATGTAACTTCATGCCATGTTACATCCATTGACAAACAACAGAACTTCCAAATTCTTGTTCCTTGCTTTGTTAGGCATCTGATGTTTTGACAGAGATTCAATTTTATAAGTCAATGCCAAGCTAAATCTTCAACTAAAAAAAGGCACAACCAGGGTACAATATTATCCACAATAACAGTGAGGGATAATAGTATGGCATAGTGGATAGGGTCCTGGACTTGGGAGTCTGGAAGACCTAAATTCAAATCCTGCCTCACAAAGTAGGTTGTCCTGCGCAAATCATTTAAACTTTCTGGGTCTCAGTTTCTTCATCGGTAAAATGAGAGTTGGACTATAAGCTGTAAAACTACAAGCTCTCTTCTGGCTCTAAATTTATGATCCTGTGATCCTATTAACAAAGTGAACTGGGACCCTAAATATTATGGTCACCAACAGAGAAAAACACAAAAATAACACTTTTCCACTAGTTCCTCCAATTGTTGTTGCTCATCAATTCAGAGAATCATAGATTTAGGGCTGAAAGGTCATCTAGTCCAAACTCTTCATTTTACAGAAGAGACACCTGAAGTCCAGAGGTCATATATTTAGTAAGTCTGAGGAAGTCAAGACTTCCATGCTTACTGCCTAAGTGATTGAGTAGAGCACCTGGCACAACCCAACCTAATTACTTTCCTTTCCTATTCCACTCCTACCTGCCAAGGAAAATAAACCTATTTATCCTTGATGGAGAAGAGTCCATCCACTCTCCTACATTCAATGCAAGACCTACACTCCAAAGAGAATAGCATTTCATTTTCCCCTCTATCAATTCAGAGGGAGAAGGGGTTCATCAAGCATTGAGGGAGGAGTCAGGAACACCAAGGTTCAAATCAACTCTCAATAACTTACTAGCTGTGTGACTCTGGGCAATTGATTTAGCCGCTGTCTGCCTCAGTTATCTCATCTGTTAAATGGGGATAATAAGAGCATCTACCTCCTAAGCTTGTTAAGAGGACAAAATGAGATGATATCAGTAAAGTACTATTCATAAAGTATTATGCAAATGCTAGCTATTATTATTATAATTACTGTGTCCTTGAACCATCTATAATCCCAGAACTATACCCCATCTGACCTCTCGTCTATGTGTTACTGTACATTATATTCAGTTAGTCATATCTATATTCAGATAATTGTAAACTATGAGCTACTTGGCTGCAGAGGTGTCTACCAAAGTTCAGGGGTGGGGAACCTGCGTCCTTAAGGGCACATGTGGCCTTGTTTACAGCCTTTTGACTGAGTCCAAGTTTTACAGAACAATCTTTTTATTAAGGGGATTTGTTCTGTGAAGTTTGGACTCAGTCAAAGGGCCACACTTGAGGACCTAGAGGGCCACATGTGGTCTTGAGGCCACAGGTTCCCTACCCCTGAAACCATCTCACACAAACATTTCTGTTCCCCTAAAATGAGCTCAAAAAATTTTGATAATTTCAAGTAAGCTTATTGAAATGAAAATGTATTGGGTCCATGTCCCAGGAAAACAGAAAAGGCACAGGGGAAAGAGCACTGATTCTGAAGCACAAGGGACGTTACTACCTGTGTGACTCTGGACAGGTCATCTAACTTTCTTGTACCTCAGTTTCTTCATTTTTGTAAAAGGAGGGGGTTGGACTATACGGCCGCTAAGGTCCCTTTCAACCCTAGATTTATGATCCTTAATTCTGCAGCTATAACTAACAATCTGATGTCTTAAAATACTCAGTGTTGCCTCAATCAAGTATTTTATTTTTTTTCCTCTTTTAAGAAGCAGAGGAAAAGGTAATGAGAAAAGATAAGATCCTTACAACAAACGAGACCTATTTTTTAGATTTTTTTTAAAATTTAACAATTTATCGGGCACATATTACAGGTATTTCAAGGGGGTGCAAAAGTGAATAAATACAGTCCCTGCTGTCAAGGAATTCATAAACCAATAGGGGGAATGAGAAAAATGACTATAAAACAAAGTAGAAAATAATGGAGAAGTACAAAGCGTTATGTCGGTTTGGAGATCTATCCAACTAAGAGGATAAGGGAGGGTTTAATAGAGAAAGTGATGTGATGAAAGATAAGCATTTGGACATGTAAAGAAGGGCAGGAGGCTGGTGTTGTAGATGAGAGAGGTATTTCAAACAGAGGTGAATGGCATAAGCCAAGATGCAGAGGCAGAGAAGTGAGACAGATATGCTCAGGAGATGAAGTCATCCAGTTTAGTCAAACCAGAGTATGTGACAGAGAGCAGGTTGAAATAAGGCCAAAAAAGGAGGCTGGGGTTGAAGCAGACAGAGCCTTAAACACCAGGTGAAGGAATTTGGACTTTATTTAGCAGGTAATAAGCCATGGAAGTTTCTGAGCAAGCAAATATTATTATTTTGCAAAAGATTAATCTGAGAGCAGCACAAATGATTGATCAGAGGGATGAGACACTAAAAACAAGAAGCCCAGTGAAAATGCCGGTGCAAAAGCCCAGGCAAAAAGCAATGCAGGGCTGAACTGGCATGGTAAGAGTGGGAATGGGAAGGAGAGAAAGCAAGAGGTTAGGGTACGTTGTTGTTTCAAGTCCAAACAATTCTCATATTTAGAAGTAGTTACAGGAGGTAACAACTATAACTGCATGCAGAAGCTAGCCAGAAAGGCAGATCAGATCATGGCATGGTGGTAGTCGACTCTCAAAAATTAAACTATGGAAAGAGAAGCTCCCAAGTCACACCTCCCCAGAAGTCCCTTCTTACTCTTCTAGGATTACCTCTGCTTCCTGTACAGGGAACCCAACCTGTAAGGGTCAAAGGCACTTTAAAAAAAAAAATTATAAAAGCTTTTCTCCAAACCTCATGTGGGCCAAGGCCTTAAGCAATGATTTCTCAAATCCAATCAAATGTTTATTGGGCACCTACCATGCCTAAAGCAAGACAATGCAGTAGGTCCTATTTAGGATACAAAAAGTCTGAGACATGGTACCTGTCCACCAGAAGCTTATAAAGTAGTTGACAGTTACAGATATGCCCGCAGAGACCACGTAACACTGTACTGACCAAAACTGTTTCATAAATCTTACTGCAGACAGTATCACTGGAGTCTCAGAACAGACGGCTGACAATGACCATAGGGTATTGTGAAATAAACATTATTCCAACGCAATGGACTGCTGCTCCTTGTGACACTGAGGGGTTTTTGTGAAACCAGTTGACATCATTAGTAGGGTCTGCCTACATAAAACAAAGAACAGGGATAGGACCTGAACCTCTGATTTCATTGGTAGAGAGAAATCCCAAGGGAGGAAATTTCCTCTATTAGTGCAGGTTGGTATCTTCTCTGCAACTCATAACCTTAGGGAATTGCCCAGCCCTGGGGCACAGAGAGGTTAAGTCACTAGCCCAGAGTCATACGGCTGATATGTATCAGAGATGGGACTGGAACCCAGGCCTTCTTAGCTTCAAGACTGGCTCTCTATCCACTATGCAAAAATATCTCACAAGAAAGAACAACAGTATCGATGATTATTTGCTTAGTCATCAATGAATAGTGCAAACAAAACATAAAATGAGATGATAGGTTAAAATAGAAGACTTCACAGAAGTATAATTTCAGTTGGGCTTTGAATGATGAATAAAAGGTAGACAGCGAGAAGAGGTCTACTAGACACGCAAGCAAAAGCTTGGTGATCGGAAGGCAAACGGGTGTGATCAGGGGACAGTAAACAGACCAGTCAGGTAAGAGGAAAACAGTGGAAGAGTGGGCTCAAAAGTTAGGCTAGCAATAGAGATTGAGTTTTATCCTATAGGCAAGTGGGAGCCACAAAAAATTAAAACTCCCTACAGTTACTGTCTTTATTTGAAGAGATTCTCAATCCCCTAAGGATATTTTGAATACAATCTCAACTTTTCACAGCTCCTCCATTTCACCACTCTACACAACTATCCCTGCCTGAAACCCACACTTTGTTTCTTAACCATCTTTATTTGCCCATTCAATGGTTTTCCATTGACATTTAAAAATATGAAACTAAAAGCACATGCCCAGTCAGGTTACAGTACATGCAGAATTAGGATTTTGTCTCATATAATTAATATTTAAGATGACACTGAGCACAAAAGCAGAGGCATCCTGTATACAGAAAATTTAATCTTAAAATAAAAGCAAATGAGCAGGGGCAGCTAGGGAGAGCAGTAGATATAGCACCTGTCCTGGAGTCAAGAGAACCCGAGTGCAAATCTGGCCTCACTCACTTGATACTTACTAACCGTGTGACCCTGGGCCAGTCACTTAACCCCAACTGCCACATCAAAAAAAAAAAAAGTAAATGAGCAGCACAGACAAGATGGCCGAATAGCAGAAAGCACAGGAAGTTTCCCACCTCCCATCTCCTCCCAACAGATCTAGAAAAAGCATCAGAACAAATCCTGCCTGGGAAATCCAAGAGAAAAATCACAGTGAGTCATTTTTCCAGGCCAGATCAGCATATGAAGACAGACAGAGATGTCTGTAACACTGGGGACAGCATCTAGCC